CAGCATTTTGAGCATCGAAGAAGGACCCAAAGTGGTTCGCACAATGTCCGCTATGGCCTTGCTCGCCTGCCCGCAAACCCTAAACCCTAAACCCTAAACCCTAAACCCTAAACCCTGGACACTACACAGCAGCACTTTGAGCATCGAAAAAGGACCCAAAGTGGTTCGCACAATGTCCGCTATGGCCTTGCTCGCCTGCCCGCAAACCCTAAACCCTAAACCCTAAACCCTAAACCCTAAACCCTAAACCCTAAACCCTGGACACTACACAGCAGCATTTTGAGCATCGAAGAAGGACCCAAAGTGGTTCGCACAATGTCCGCTATGGCCTTGCTCGCCTGCCCGCAAACCCTAAACCCTAAACTCTAAACCCTAAACCCTAAACCCTAAACCCTGGACACTACACAGCAGCATTTTGAGCATCGAAGAAGGACCCAAAGTGGTTCGCACAATGTCCGCTATGGCCTTGCTCGCCTGCCCGCAAACCCTAAACCCTAAACCCTAAACCCTAAACCCTAAACCCTGGACACTACACAGCAGCACTTTGAGCATCGAAAAAGGACCCAAAGTGGTTCGCACAATGTCCGCTATGGCCTTGCTCGCCTGCCCGCAAACCCTAAACCCTAAACCCTAAACCCTAAACCCTAAACCCTGGACACTACACAGCAGCATTTTGAGCATCGAAGAAGGACCCAAAGTGGTTCGCACAATGTCCGCTATGGCCTTTCTCGCCTGCCCGCAAACCCTAAACCCTAAACCCTAAACCCTGGGCCCTAGGCTGTAAACCCTAGCAGCAGGCTGAGGGCCAAGAAGACCTCCGCTCGCGGCGCGCCGGCGGTCGCTCCCGCTGCTGCTGCTGCTCCCCCTGCTTCGGCTGCTGCTGCTGCTGCTGCTGCTGTTTGGTGGGTTACCTGGATGTTGGCGAGCTGGGCCTTTCGCCCAGACTCTCTTTTAGTGTTTTGCTTGAAGACAAGCACGGGGCCTCTTGGGCGAATCATTTTGAGGGTTTGGGAGAGTGTGGGGTGGGGGCTGAGGTGTACGTACACCCGAGAAGAACAACAGCGACTGCAGCGCAGCAGACACCACAGGGGCCGCCTCGCTGGGGCGCGGGCTGCTGCAGGGCCCGCAGCCTAGGGTTTAGGGTTTAGGGTTTAGGGTTTGGCCCGCCGCTGTCTCTGGCAGGTCGGGGCTGCAGCAAAGCCAAAAAGAATTGCATGCAAAGAGCAGCAAACAATTCCAAGAAATTAAATATGCCCAACACGAATGGGGGGCCCCCGCTGGGACACGCCGACTTACCCCTGCTGCTGCTGCTGCCGCTGCTGCTGCTGCTGCTGCTGCTGCTGGGGGCAAAAGGCCTTGCTTTGCCTAGTTAATTTGCTTTAATTGCTGCTTCACCCCCTTGGGCTCAGCGCCGCACCAAAGAGCCTGCGCCCCACGTGCGGCCTCTGGGCCCAGCCCCAGCCCCTGCAGCCCTCTTTTTAATTATTTAATTCTTTTTTTGTTTTTTCTTTCTTTTTTTATAGTGTATTTCTGCAAAAATTCCCGTTTTCTCCGCGTGCTGGCGAAGCCGCAGGCAACGCCCAGGTGTACAGACACCCCAGTGGGGGGCGCATGCACCCAGTGTCGGCGCTGCGTTTTTCTGTTCTTTTAATTCCAGGGAATGTAAAAAAGATAAAACTCCACTTTTTGAAAATAATTTCATTTGAGGTGTATGGACACCTCGCCACATGCCGCACTCACTCAAGGCGGGGGCGTCGCTCCCCTCGGGTGTCTGTACACCCCGATATGCGCTCCCGAGTCTGCTGGCTGCAACTCGAGCGCCGCAAATTAAAAGGAATAAATTAATTAAATCGAAACTTGAGGCCCCCAGGCCTATTAGCTTGGGGTGCAGCTTTCAAAGAGTTGACTTGTTTCCGCTGGCTAGCTCGCTGCAGAAGCCCAAGCTGCTACATCCTAAGTAGCTAGCTAGCTAGCTAGCTAGCTACCTAGCTGGACTGATAGCTTGCTAGGTTGCTAGCCAGCTAGACTGCTAGGCAGCTAGATTCGAGCTAGCTAGATCGCTAGCTAGCTAGATTGGTGGCTTGCTAGCTAGCTAGATTGATGGCCAGCTAGACTGCTAGCTAGCTATATTGCTAGCTAGCTAGCTAGATCTCTAGCTAGCTAGCTAGCCACATCGTTAGCTCGCTTTAGGTGCAGCAGTCTGGCCTCTGGCTCATGGGCCATTTAGCTCGAGTGGTGGAGCTGCAGCAAATCTTTGCCACTTTTTGTCTTCAACGAAAATGAAGCAATTGAAGACAGATGAAAAATTCAACTTTTCTAAATAAAAAGAATTCGTAATTAATGAGGGCTTCTGTGGTGCTGCGGCTTGGGGTGTCAAAGAGCAATGGGGTGCACAGATACCCGAAATAGGAGCCCCGAGTGCTGTTCGTTTAGGGTTTAGGGTTTAGGGTTTAGGGTTTGGCGTGTCCCGATTAAAATGTGCCTAAGGAATGTTCATTTGTGCCAAGTCTGGCCTCTTAACTGTCAGCTTCAGGAGTCTGCTGCTGCTGCTGCTGCTGCTGCTGTCGTGCAGCTTCACCGGTCCTGGTCCTGCTGGGGCTCGCTTGTCCAAGCCAGGGTTTAGGGTTTAGGGTTTGGGGTTTAGGCTTTACCACTAACACGGTAGTAGAAAGCAGCAGCAGCAGCAGTAGTAGTAGCACCACTAGCAGCAGCAGCAGCAGCAGCAACATTATCAGCAGCAGCGCGGGGAGCTGCTGCTGCTGCTGAAGTATATTGAAATGGCCAGACACGCAGCTTCGGCTCTTGGGGGGTTTTGCATTTAAAAAGAAAAAACACTAAAAAGCCTTTAAAAGATAGAAGCAGCAAAAATCTGCTGCTGCTGCCTTTGCTGCTGCTTTTACTGCTGCCTTTGCTGCTGATTTTGCTGCTGCTTTTGCTGCAGCTTTCGCTGCTGCATCCTTTAGCGGGGCCCCGGCAGCGGGCCTGCAGCAAACCTGCATTTGTATTTTTGAAGAAAAAGAAAAAATATTTATTCATCCTCCGTTGAAGAACATTCAAATATTTTGATGAATACAAAAGCATCTAATAAACTAAATATATAAAAAGGGTTCTATTATTACTATACTGGAGGAAATGAGAGGCTTTTCTGTTTTAATTGCTTCCCTTTTAGAGAATAAAAGCGTCTTTTATTTGTTTATCTTTTATCTTTTATTTTATCCGTTAAGTAATATTTATTTATCTTTCGTTCAAGAACTTTCAAGTATTTCAATTAAATAAATCAAGTCTTTTTTTCTTTTGTTCTGCTGCTTTGAGCATTCCCGCCACCGCTCCAGTGTACATACACCTCAGCCAGCGCCCTCAGGCTTCCCTGCTCCAGGTGTACAGACACCGTACCTCCGATAGTGAAATCCGCGCAGGCGAGCGCCTTCCACCAGCTAGCTAGCTAGCTAGCTAGCTAGTTGGCTAGTCGACTAGCTGGCTAGCTAGCTAGGTGGGTAGCTAGGCAGCTAGCTAGGTAGATGGCTAGGCAGCTAGCTAGGTGTGTAACTAGCTAGCCAGAGACGACTGGGTCGCTAGCTACCTACCTAACGAGCCAGTCGCCTCGCTAGGTAGGTAGCTAGCCAGCTAGCTAGCTAGCTAATTGGCTAGTTAGCCAGAAAGAAAACCAAGATAAGTAGCTAGCTAGCCGCAGCACTGAAAGCGTAGATATCATCGCCCTTTAAACTAAAGTTTGCTCATTTGAGCCTCTGCAAAAAGTCGCTGCTGCAGCCGCAGCAGCAAGGGCGGTTAAAATGCTGCTGCTTCAGCTTCTAAAATATGGGTGTCCCTGCTGCAGCTGCTGCTGCTGCTGCTGCATAAGCAGCCCGCGCAGCTGCAGAAGTGGCTTTGCAGCGAGCACCTGCGCTGTCTGCCCGCAGCAACTGCTGCAGCAGCAGCAGCTGCAGCAGCTGCAGCAACAGCAGCAGCAGCGGGTGCGTAGCTACTTGGGGGGGCGTTTGCTGCGGCTCTGGAGTTTGGCCCTTTCTTTGTTGATGGCTTCCTCGACCTGCTTGAAGTAGCGGAGGCAGTTTTGAGTGAACTCTCTGTTGCTGTTGACAGCCCTGAGCATGGCGTTGAGTCTGTGGATTTCGTCTGCGGAGTCGCGGGCGGCTTCTTGCTGCTGCTGCTGCTGCTGCAGCAGCAGCTGGCTGCGCACGGCAGCGAGGGCGCCGCGCAGCTGCTGCTGCGCACGCCCCAACTCCCCGTCGTGCACCCCACACGCAGCCACAAACAGACCAATGGTCAGCGCCTCCTGGTCCACTGGTTCCCGCAGCCCCCCGAAGCGCAGCGCCCGCACGCACTTGAAGACTGTGGGGTCCACTCCTCCGAGGGCCCCAAATTTGGACAAGACAAAAGCGCCTCTTCCGAAGGCCCGCGAGGTGAAGACCCGCAGGTCGCAAGCAATGCCCTCTTCGCCGCTGCTGCTCCGCAGCTGCAGCAGCGCAGCAAACGCATGCACCTGCTGCTCTCCCCGCATTCCCTTCCAAACTACTTTTATTTGCTTCCAAGGCGACCGGCAGCAGCAAACTCTAGGCCCCAAACCCCACACTCTGCCACCACTGCACGTGCACCCCGCCCCACAAACGAGCAAGCAGCAGCAGCAGCAGCAGCAGCAGGAACAGCAGCAGGAGCAGGAGCAGCAGCAGTAGCAGCAGCAGCAGTAGCCGCAGCAGCAGCAGCAAGTACCTCGGCAGCAACGACCCGGTCTGCCTGGGGCTCGGGGAATTCCAGCTCGGGGGCCCTGCAAGGGGGGCCCCCCAAGGGGGGGTGGCAGGGGCCCCCCTTGGGGGCCCACTGGGTTTGCTGCAGCCAGGCGGGGAGTGCTGCTGAGGAGGAGACAGAAGAGCGCAAAATGGAGACGGAAGCAACTCCTGAGAAGCAGCAAAAGAGACAAAAGAAAGAATAAATTGGAATTTAAAAACGCAAAATAAATATTTAAACTAAAATTGCAAAAGACACAAAATAAAAGATGCTAATCCACGCACAAGGCGCAAAATCCGACAGAGAAAAGACACAAAAACAGACACAGGAGACCCCCGCCGCAGCAAAAACGCTCAGCAGCAGCAGCAGCAGCAGCAGCAGCAGAGTAAAAAGGAAAGGAAGTGCAGCGAAGTCCGGAAGCTGCAGAGACAGGGGCCCACCGTTCGGCAGCGCTGCGTGGGGTGTATCTCCAGCTTCTGTGCGCCAGAAAAAAGCAGGGCCCCAAGGATTGTCATTTATTTCAACTCCGAAATAAAAAAGAAGATAAGCATTATTGTACTGTCCGTAGTTCACAAACAGCTGCGAAGCAGCAGCACAACGCGCAGCAAAGGTCCAGCCGCAGCAAACAGCCCCAGCGAAAGAGAAACGCAGCAGCAGCAGCAGCAGCAGCAGCAAAAACAGCAGATCGGGCGCCGCACACAGCCCCAACGCAGGAGAAACGCACCAGCTGCAGCTACAGTTGCAGCTGCAGCAGCTGCAGATGCAGCAGCTACAGCTGCAGCAGCAGCAGCAGCAGCAGAAGCAGCTGCAGCAGCAGCAGAAGCAGCTCCAGCACCAGCTTTAGCAGCAGCAGCAGCAGCAGCAAGGGACTCAAAAGTCACTATCTCACCTTTTCACCGGCATGAGTGTCTCTAGGCGCCCTCCAAACAAGGCCCTCCGGAGACGTCTCGTGCTGCGTGGCGACGTCCGCACTCCTGCAGCAGCAACAGCAGCAGCAGCAGCAGCAGCAGCAGGCGTGCAGGGGAAGCAACCAGGGAGCTGCTTCCTGCCGTGGGGCAGCAGCGGTGCAACGAAAGTCCACAGCAGCAGCAGCAGCAAGGGCGCCAACGGCCACAGCAGCAAGAGTGCCACAAGCTGCTAAGTCAACGGCAGAAACAACAACAGCAGCAGCAGCAGCAGGAGCAGCAGCAAGGGGCTGACCAGTGGTACTGCTGCAGCTCGTCAAGCGCAGACACAGCAACATGTCCCTCCCCATCCC